ACATGGCTGGACTGTCAGTTGTTATGCGACTCAACTAGGTTTTACTATTAATTAGGAAAACATGTCGATTTTGATATAGGCGGCTCTACCGCAATAGAACAAAGACATACAGTTTACATTTTGAACGGAAGAGTTGATTTGCCTTGGGTCAAGGTTGTGCTTACTCTTGGACGTACTGGTTCAATTCATGCGCTCAAAATCGTAATGTAAATAATGGTAGCACACGGACTTTTGCTTAGTCATCAAAAACTATGGTTTTTTGTTAAAATCATTTTACCCATACTTATGTCAAAGATCTAAACACCTAATTAGATGCAAACTTGTTTTCAGAGCCTCGTAAGAGCGTTTGGTTTCACTATAGAAATCTGATTGGGATAACTTTCAGGGTGTATCAATAGCCCATTACTGTGGGTGATGAGCTCCTCCTTAATAGTTGTATCACTTCCAAGCATGGATTTTTTAATCGGGGCCAATTGCAGCCAGAAGCATAGTCAATTGATTCTATTTTCCAGGTGTGCATTCCATGTTTCAGCCTCTTTCTTCTCATAGTATCTCGAAGACCAGGTGATCTGTAACATTTCCGCAAGTCAGGCGTCGAGCCGCCGACAAGTGCTACGAAGTGCAAAAGAACACATCGCAAAATGTAAACATAGGAAGCTTTTAATTGAGAAAGCCCGCATTGACAAGCGCACCGTTGTGAAATCCGCTGTGTTTTAGACGGCTCTCCACGCATAATCACCGCTTCCAGAGCGTATCTCTTAAAGTACTACCTGTAGTACAGGGTATATTACCTTTCCGAAATGATATTTCGGAACTTAAATCGCATCAGGCAACAGCTCTGTTCATGGTGCACCCTGCCGAGCTGATATGCAAAAGAAAATGTCGATTACACCACTATTGCTGCCTCATGTAGCATCTCATATTCGTGCTTCAATTCCACATGACTTGCCATTCTGACTCAGAATGTCAGCGCCAGATGGAGAATATCTCTCGAACCCTCTGATCATGAATATAAACAGCAGCGGATCTTTTTGACGAGGTTATCGTACCCTTTCGATCAGTAATAAATTGAATTTGTTATATTCTCCAGAATATCTGAATTAAACCTGTCAGCCATACTATCATGTACCCTCAACGACTGACTTACTGTAAGCGGATAATGTTTCCAGCTTTTAATAAATCAATTAATCAACATCACCGTCTTGCCCTTCATAATATTATTTATTAAGAAAATAATACCAATTTCTATAACATTTTCTACCCGTAATCGAAATGGCTGATCAAATTTGCCTTACGTCGCTACATCAACAAGTGTATGTAATTGATTGTCTCAAAAGCAAGAGGTGCGACGTTTCGCACCGTGGGCATGTTAGTCAGTGTTTATGACTTTGCAACCGTGACTTTCATGAGCCCGATCAAAAGTGCGTGGCATATACCTTGAGTCGCCTACCTCCTTGACTCGAAGCGTTCCTGGGTGCCCACTCTATGGACGAGATCATAATTTGACTTTAGGTCCAAAAGCACAAAGTGTTTTGCTCTGTCATAAAGACTAGAGGCAAATTTGACATATCGCCATCGCCAAACGCCCTTTGCAGTGTCCGCATTTATATCCAATAACATCCCATATTATCGAATGTCTTCGAAGAAAGTGCCCCACAGGAAGGTGAAGAAGGCTCTTTATGTTGGCATCAGCGACCAGCAACCTGGTCAGAGCATTGCTTTCCACGCTAGTTCAATTGTTAGATCACCAGCTGACTGTTTCATCGGTTCGAGTATTTGTATCGACATATTGAAGTGTGTCTTGTTTCCACTTCCGGGTGTAGTGTACGATCCCATCTTCTGCGTTATTTACACGGATTCTTTGAGTCAAAGCTTTCTCAGTACGAGGTGCGCGACAATTCAAATGCACAACCACTAACATAATTGTTTGATAATTCATGTTAGGGTGAATCGTCATAGCTTTGACCTTCTGGTGTTCAACTTTAACGATATTTTTCCAGCAAAAAAAGGTTTAGAAGTTCCAAGATCGGTTTGGGTCGGGGGGGGGGTCGTCCGTCGCCAACGGAGGCGTCATGGACGCAATCGGCGACGACATCTTCTGCTGAAGGTGCTCACTTTCATAGCTCAAACACGCCTCTAGATGCGCGGTGATCGCTTAAGGTCCTTGCGAAGTGAGGTGTTGCACACCCTCAAGACCAAAAAGAGAATCTCCTGCTTTGAATGAGAGGTCTTGGCGTCCGCCATACTCTAGACCGAGCAACATAACGTGGCGCTAGCTATCTCCAAGCTCGGTGATCGAGCGCGAAAATATGCACTGACGTGCGGCACTTCGGTACCCCTCTTAACTCTACTTGTAATTGTATTTATCAAATTCTGATTGCACCAATCGCACTTCGGTCGAAGCGGCGTTTCCCTCCTGGACGGAGCTGAAGCTGCAACAGGAGTTGGTGGACTTTGTCCGAGAGTTGAGAGCTCTTATTGCCGGGATGGCAGCAGATCCTCTCCCCGAGGCGGTCGAAGTGGCCGTCTATATGGAGGGCTTCCGCACTGGCATGGCCAGAATGGAAGTCTTCCGAGTGCATCCGTCTTCTTTTGAAGAAGCGGTGAACGTGGTATTGATAGCCGAATTTAACTTCAAGTCGGTACAACTTGGTTGATATGCACACCATCAGACTTCGTCGAGCGAGCCTGAACCGATTGATCTCAGCTATGCTGAGGACAAGGAGGCACAGCTCCGAGCTGCCATACAGCATTTAAACACCTGACGGTGTTTCATCTGTGGAGACACTTGTTACCTTAGGATTGGTTGTCCCCTGCGCAAGGCGCGTCAAGATTCATCAAGCTGACGCCCGCTCTTACCAGACTTCTGGTTTGTTGCGGGGAAACGACAATACCTAATAGGCGCTGGGCGGCCTTAAGCCTCGAGGAGGTAGAGGTCAGCAGGGCCCAGCCGCGAAAAGCTCTGTGCTCTTAAACATGGAACGTGTATGCAAACCGGGCTTGCTGGTTTTAGAGTAACCGTGAAGGGCTTTGAGTGGCTATGGGAGATCCTGACGGACTCCGGGGCGTCGGGCAACTATGCTCGACGCTCCACGATGGAACGGGTTTGGGTGTATGCTGAGGCGCTAGAGGCGCGCTTGAGTGACGAGGACACGTGTTACGGTGCCGAAGCTCTCTATGGACCTTGGTGTCAAGTTTCTTGACTTTAATAGCGTGGAACGCTGTCACGTCTTAGACTTAGATTATATGACCTTTACCTTGGTATGGCATGGCTGGAACACCATGAGCCATGGATCGACTGGAGGTCGAGGAATTTGGGTGCTACCAACGCACACGTCTCCTGATTGAGCTTTGGTGAGACATGAACCCACCTCTGCTAGGAGGCAGAAACGCTATTAGCGCGGGCACTGAACCGAGACGGTCAACGTGCTGGATATCGGAGAATCTGCGTAGATGAATATCGATGATGTGTCGGATAGGAGTCCCGAGTATGGCTCGAGTGCTGAACGTGTAATGCTCGCAACCCACTGAGCGCTGCTCACGTTACGAAGCGGACGCTGTATACCATGCACCAAGGGCCGAGGCATCGAAGGGCGAGGCCCCAATGATGCACGTGGGGTGACACGTAATCCACTGAGCACTGCTCACGTTTCAGCAGTCGCTGCGTACCACGAGTGACATGGTCGGACTAGGTCCGAGACATCGAGGGTGAGGCCTCAGTGATGCACGTGGAGTGGCAAGTAGTTCACTGAGCACTGCTCACGTTTCATAGCAGTCGCTGCGTACCACGAGTGACATGGTCGGACTAGGTCCGAGACCTCTTGGGCTAGGCCCTTCAGATACGCGTGGAGTGGCACGTTATCCACTGGAAGAAGATTGCGGAACTAGCAGCTCTTCGTCGAATGCCGTTGATAACATCAAGGCTCCGGTAAAGCAGAAAATGGGGCTAACACTGGACGACGCTGAGTGTGTGTTCCCACTGGTTTCGCCGAGACGTACAACCTCTGTGGAGCGGATAGATAGGACGTAGATAACCGGTACTACTTAATTCTAAATATTAAGCAATTTTCGAGAAAAGAGCGAGAGGTACTTGATGAAGTGGATGTAAGACGTCTATTATTTTCGACCCAAAGTTGACACGAACCAAGGGGTCTATTGATTTGTTGCTGCCGTCAGTATTGGAGGGTTATAATCTAAGTAAAAAAATATTTGATGGTGTGATGTGCTTTTCTGTTTGATCTGCTTTGACTGATCTGCTTCATTACGGACTCAAACCTGTACCTTATAAACCTTGCACAGCAATGACAGAATAAGAAACAGCATCAAAGATTCAAAGTTAGTAATTTACTGAAACAAATAAAAGCAGCATCTACAACAAGGTTACAGGTCGCAAATGGATCAATGCAGTTTCAAGTAAGCAGATCCCGACTAGGCTTGATACGTGGAATTTAATGCTACAGAAACGGCATCCATCCGATGTACATTCGGGCGAGATTTTCGTGTGATGTAGCCTCATGAATAAGTTTATCAACTTGGCCTTGCACAGAAAGAGGCAAGGTTTCATTTTCCGGAAGTAAGCTGCGGTGCGATGCTGACACAAGTGGACGAATAGCATCGCCCAGGTTGTAAATGCCGCACAGTCGGTCGTCAATAGTCCTTAGAACAAGACGTGTCTCCTGCTTGCTGCGTTCACTCGAGAGTTCAGCAGCACTTTTACCAGAATTAGC